AGTAACTGTCACTTTATGCTTGAGAGATCTATTGTATAGGGAAACACTTTTGTTAATGTATAGAAACACTCCCATGGAAAATGGCTTTACACCATCTCAACTGATGATGTCTCGTAATTTAAGGGATACATTACCAAGCACTGTACATAATTTGAAACCACAAAAAATCAATTTTGAAAATTACACAATAAGTCATTAGAACAGCAAAGACAAAAGCAAAAACAATACAATACAATAAAAAGTAAAGTGAGATATCAAACTCATTTAGGATCAAAATGGTCGTTTGGTAAAATAACAAACAAACCTAGAGAACGCTCATACGGTATAGAAAAAAATGATGGAACAAATACCATTAGAAATAGAAGATTCATTGAAATTTTGCCAAGTCAAAATGATCTTCATCTTTGTCTAATAACAGTAGTTACTGCTACTCTAATCCAGAAGCAATATCATCTGGTAGACCAGTTAAAAATCCAGACAGGCTAATGTACTATTAGTTCAACGTTTTTTGTGGAATTGACTTGAGAACTGAAATAAAGACATTCTATTAGAAATCGTCGTTTTATTCAGATATATAACAAAGAGAATTTATCGAAAGCATGGAGACAAGAAATATGTCCTAGTAGAGCCTTAGTAACCAGATTTTTTTGAAAAAGGAGGATGTCGCCACAGGTACAAGAGTAGCCGGAAAATCATGAAAATTGAACAAGACGTTGATACTATTGTTGAGAAAACAATTTACAAATATTTCATATAAATATGCAATGTTAGATAGAAAGATAGATAGATATTTATTTAATCTCTTATGGTTGCTTCGCAACATAAAGAGAAAAAAAAATCCCATTGGATATAAACATTAAGAAAAAAACATCACAAATATCCTAGTCGTTACAAATGAATCAAAAATGAATAAAAATGAGGTATTTAAATATGTTAAAATACATGTTAAAATACATTGAAACATAACTGTCTAGTCGCTAAGTTGTTTATACTCGTCTAATGAATAAAAGGCATGGCGGATGAGAAACTTTTTCAAAGACAGTTTGAAATGTTTCATATTGATAATGAGTTTCAAGAATTGTCTTGCTTGGGGACTTGAATATAGATTTTCTTGTAAATTCAACGTCACTTTTTAATTTGAAATGAATGCTTCAATCATTTGGATTGGATATAATAATTTCAGGCTATTTTAGAATAACTAGATTATCTATTGTATTGACGACATCGTAACAAATCTTACCGACTACATTCTTCGTCTGAGAGAAAGATTGTTAACTAGTTTCATATATGTAGCGAAACCGTGTTGAAATTAATTGAGTCCCAGACACTGCTGTCTGGGTAAGATCTTTCCTGTACTGACGAAAGGTAATACGTATTATGGTATTAGCCGGGGAAGTTGTTGTCGATAGACGTTTACCACACCCCACTGTGTAGGTAGTTGGGAGAGGTTGGTATTTCTATATTTATTTCCTTATACGTATGTATATCTCCTAGACAGTTTTCACTTTTGATTTCAATTAGTTTTGTCTCCATAATTGGAAAAATTACTAATGGAGCGATTATCCTCCTACTTTCAAATGAGGTTGTGTTTTAGTGAATCCCAATATGGATTTCAGAAAAACAAATCCACAACTCAGGCTGCTTACAAGATGGGGAATGGCATAGTGGAGGGTCTTGATCAGTGCAAGCACACTTTCTTTATGCGGCTTGACCAAAACCTTTGATTGTGTATCACATGCGATACTCATTGAAAAATTGAGTCATTATGGTTTGAGAGATACCATTTTTGAGTCTCCTCATCCTCTATCTCGAAAACAGGTATCAGTGTGTTGATCTTAATCCGACATTGAACCGATACAACATGGAGTACCTCAGGGTTCAGTACTAGGACCTTTTCCATTTATTGTGTACATAACGACTTCTGTCAAAGTATTATACCAACAAAATTTATTCTATATGCTGATGACACCACTCTTGTGAAATCGGATAAGTCACACATCGGTTTGATTCGTACTGTTGACGAGAACATAAACTTCAAAAGCTGATTCACAAAGTACAAGCTGAAATTGAATGAAAGCAAAACACAGAACTTGATTGTTAAACTGATCCGGCCATGTAGATTATGTACTAGAGTTTTATTTGTTCTAAGACAACTCAAACCAGTAACCAATCTTAACGTATTCAAACTATCTTACTTCTGGTAAGATCATATGGTATTCTACTTTGGGGCAACTCAAGTAATGCAATAATAGTATTTCGATATCAGAAAAAAGCCATTCGTATTTTAGCAATTGTAGGATTCATAGATCACTGTCATCAACACTTCATTCAGCTTGGTATCATGCCGGTGCCTTCATTATACATATACACCGTTTTGTTAGAGATACATTAAAAAAAATGAATGAATTTAAAGAAGACTCCGATATAGATTAGTCTAACACAAGTTCTACATATATGTTGAATCCCCAACGGCACAGACTAGTTGTTAGCAATAAAAATTCTCACATACTAAATTTGTATAATGTTGTCGATGAATCAGTGAAAGCATTGGATTTTACAAATTCAAAACAGTTGTCAAAATTATCACAACTAATTTATATACAACACTTAGTAACTAACGCTCAATTTATCTTCACAGTTAGATTCCTTTCTTTAAACGCACGATTCACTTTCTAACTACAGACTACTGCTCGGGACGGAGAGCGACCTTTTTATATTGTCAACGAACGCTCCGGATCTCTCTCTGGGGATTTCGGGATTCATCCACACCTTTCGCGCTGTTTCGCGATGCGACATGCGTTTGCTGACTGTGACAACGGTCAGGGCCGGCTTGAGATTCATTACAATAGGCTACATAACAGCAGATGATTCTGATCATAGTTGCACCAAAACTGTTCTCGATTGTTTCTTAGTTTCAACATAAACAAACAAATACACCTTTTTCAAACTGAATCACATGGCAGCTGTCAGTGTCAATTGTTCTTTGTGTCTCTCTTTGGTCTTCAACCACATGGCCACAGTATATAATACCCAGTAGTTATCGAAATCTTTGATATTTCTGTCTCACAGTTTTATTTTTTAGGACTACTGTGCATCCATAATTATCTGCCACCAGTGAAAATGTCAGCCTTTGATATTTCATAAACTGCTCAAAAAGTGAATAATAGATATAAACTGCTCGACAGTGAAACAAATTTCATGGAAAATCAAATGGGTGTTGTGCAGTAAGGTAGAATGTTATATAAATATTGTACTACATAAATCGTATGAAATCGAACAAAGTTCGGAAAACGTGTCGGAGAGTTCGAAAGTAATGAAAAGAATTGGTTTGCTTGTCCAACCCAGGCGGTCCTCTTGAGATGCAACTACATTGAAACATACATGTACGCAAGTGGTTATTCTCAACTAAATGAATAATAATACTTATTGCTTTACTACAAGTACCATTGCAAAAGTGTTGTCCTTGAAGAACAATCAACAAATAGATGCCAGATTTGCCTGCAGGTGCCTGCCTGTAGGTAAACAACATTCTGCTAGTTGTCTTAAGCTAAGATGCCCTTGTAACTAGATTCCTGTTCTCGAAGGGACATACAAGGATTTTTTTGATATAATTCAATACCCGTCAGGCACTAGAAAGGAGAGTACTTAATCTAACAGGTGTTTGCCCTGACAGCCTAAATTATGTACTCTGATTTTTATATCCTCCAGGTAATTATAAGTCAGAGATACCTACATAGGTACTTCTTTCATCATAATTATCTAAAGCATGTACCTAACTCAAATATACCTAAGGTACATCCTCAAATTATAATTACCTAAAGCATATTATATCAATTCTACATCAATGATTACAATTTCGGTTTCTAAGAAAACGAGTTCAGTAATGGTGATCTATTCAAATCCAATTGGTCATCCAGTAAAATGTTTAAATTTTTTACTAAACATTTTACTAAATGACCAATTGGATTTGAATAGATCAACATTACTGAACTTGTTTTCTTAGATACCGAAATTGGGAAATTGTATTATTGTATATACTGGAATTAACTTGTAGTATTTTCATTTACTGCGAAAAAGCTACTGTGCTAACGAAACATGTCATGCTATATTTTTTTGAAAATAAAGTTTGAAGATCAGATCGTATCTTGACGAAACACATGTCGAGGTGTTGAAATAACGGTTTGGTGTTGGGGAAAAAACTCCAGTAATATTCATCAAGCCCTGGTTGGAAATATAATTTGTATCTGCTACAAATATACCTCTTGAATACATTCAAAAATATAAGTACGAAATATTACGTTTCCATATACAAAACTCGTAAATGGACCTAGTTATTGCAAATCCTGTGTGTGACATAAGCTTGCATACAGAAAATAACATAGTTAAGAATAATGAACAACTGAATCAATGCTTATATTACAATTATAATACCTAAACTATAAATATTAAGGTGATATGCACGAAAGGAAAAAAATTGTATATATAAATGTTGAAAATTCAGTATTTTTGATAATTTTGTTTTTCATTTGTTTTCCAGCATTTCAACTGTTGGTTTATAAATTTGATGGAAAAAATATTCGAACTGAGATTGTTGAACATTGCTTTATAACTTTTCCAACATTTTACACCACCGAATGTTGTGGGCAGAGATGACCGAAATGATTCTCTAACGAATCATTAAACTCAACAAAAGATGTATGGGGACACTGTAAATTTCCAAATATATCCTGATTAGAATTTAGATGTGCTCTGAAATGGGAATAGATATTTTCCATTGAGAACATCGTTTTCTTTTCCAAATTCTAACAAATATATGTGATAGCATTACTCTTTATCATGATTACCCAATCGAAACGTCGTCAGTCTGATAGGCCAAAAGCTGTAAATTACATATTCCACTTGTTACATATTCCACTTGTCGAATATTTTGATTTTGAATATTTAATATGAGCAAATGTTTTTAATTTTGAATACTTTATGACCTCCACAATTTTTTGCAGCAGGTGATGCTCTGGGACTTTCTGGATGAACGAGATTTTCCATGGCAATCTCTTGCTGATGATCTAGAAGACCTAGTATCGTTTTTTACAGATTCCGATGAATCCGATTGGTCGGATTATGAGCTTTTTTTTGATTAGTCTCTGCTTATACTAATACACGTATACCCAAGATATTTTGATTATTTCATTAGATTTTACTTTGAAGTTTTTCCACTGCATTTATTGAATCATTGAATCAAAATAATTGATATCAATAAATTACTAAGGGGCCGTTGAAGTATTACGTAACATTTTTGAAGATTTTTTACCCTCCTTCCCCCCTATGTAACGTGCCGTAATTTTTTCCAGTACCCCCGACCTTAAACGTTAAGTAACTCCATGTTTACCTAAAAGTAACAATTATGTTGAGCAAAGTACTGGCAAGTCGCTGAAATACACTGCGGTTATTGCGGTAATAATAAATTAAACAAAAGATATCTAACTATATGCAATGCGTATATTATTTATTTTATTCATATTGTTATTCAACAATCAAATATAAATGAACATTTACTTCAGTAGGTATGTTAAAATAGGCTCAACTAATGCACTTACTAATCTTACAATTACACCGTTTTCTTGATGACTTCATTATCTATTGTTGTTCACATGCTTTCTCATATTTCAGGTTTATTTTCACTAGTAAACTTTTAAAATGAAATCGCATATTTATTTTAACCTTTGGCAATGCAATAAGAAACAGAAAGCTAACTGAAGTCAAATAATATGGTACCTATTCTTTGAAAAAAATAAAATCATTCATAATTCAAATAACGTACATTCCGTACTAAACTGACTTGATGTAAAAAACGTTATTCGTTGGGAATGAATAAAATAGACTTGAAAAAAAAAAAATTTTGCAAGCGCGATGATCACGGAAGAACTGTACAATTTCTTCTGTGATCATGTCGCTTGCAATAGTGCCAAAATATCGGAGTTTCACTACAAATTGACATGAAAATATTCAGATAAATCATATCATTATGATAACAACCACGATAATATAAATAATTATATTAAAAACTATACCTATATTGAAAAATGAAATCACCATATTACATTGATTTCACTTTTTCCGAAATACATTTTTCAAGTCTGTTTTATTCATTTCTCAAAGATCACCTTTTGAATTGAGTTACTTTCGTTCGAAGGGTGCGACATAGACCTATTTAAAAAAAAATCAATTGAAGTTACTGCTCCTCTGTACACGGGTTTTCCAGTAATTCAGATTATTTCATTACTGGCATCCGGAGAGCAGTTCTGAAATTATTAAACCACTTGTGTCAATTTCGTATTCGTGGAGCCCATCGACATCCTCAGACGATGTTTCACAACGGCGAACAATGCAGAAAAGTCCATTTGCTTTTCTGGCAGCAAGTTGCTGTGGCCGTAGTCTACTTTCACGACGATTTTGAGTAGTCTTGTCATGCACGTAACGACTGTGCATTTGTACACTGTTGTGGGATGTGAAATAAGAGTCCACGTGTACACTGTTGTGGGATGTGATAGGCAAAAAAAATCATAATGCATCTGCTTAAACCCTTTCGGACAGGACGACAGATTAACAGACATCACAGATTTCAATGCTCAGCAGGATTCGTCTGCGCATTTAAACATTTGTACGAGATTTTGCGATTCACGGACTTGAGTACCACGCCAGATTATGTTCTGCTGGATCCTGCAAGCTATCTTCAGGCTTTCTATATTCCGCCGAAACATCGTAGCTGCCAAGTCCTTTGTTATCGAGATTACGACCAAAATGTTCTTGCGACAGGATGACGCTTGACAGTCGTTTGCTGAGAGGGGCCATGCGTCGCTCCACTTGTAAGCACTCCGCCAAGAAGCATTAGTCGCTATGAACACGGCTACCAGGTTGTATTTTTTGAAGTGTTGAATGGCAAAGTTCTTGACTTTCCGATATCACGGGTTTTCGTCCGGCTCACTGTCTACAGAGATTATGATGACTACAGTGTATGAAGGCCGTCGGTTTTTGGAATTTCTTCCTGACGTTTTGCTGGTGCGAGTGATGATGACTGATGGTGTAAAATAACTGAGCATTGTTGCTTTCTTCTTCGTGCCCTTCAACTTGAACTCTCATATAACATCATTTATTATGTTCTATAAACTTTTCTTTATTTTTCAGTTTTTCTTTAGCCGTTTTCCAAATTTTGTTGGCTTTTTTGGCACAGTTACAGGGGAAATTCAGCACGAAAGCCTTTATAGGCCATGAGCAGCTGGTAATGCAAATCTCATTCTTTTGAGGATATAGCAGTATGAACTCACTTTGAAACAATGACGAAAACTGACAACTTAAACATAATGAGAATAACGTATAATACAGTCTTGGAATTCCCCGTTGAAATCTAAACGAAAAGGTCAATTGGGGAAACAAAATTGAAATGACATACAATACAGCCGAGGGATTCCCCGTAAAACAAAACGAAAAAGGTAGTCAACTTGGGAGACTTCAATTTCCTAGTTCTATATTTGAATTGAAAAGAAAACACTGTTGCGTAACACGTGGTTCGGACTCCCCCCTTCCCGCCCTTTTAACACATCGAACAGTTTTTCAAGACGCCCCTCCAACTAAATTGCGTTATGTAATACTTGAAAGACCCCTAAAGAAACATCAGATTATTTATATTATCAATTATTGTATTATCATTATTGTATATATTGTTGATTGATATTTCCAAGCAGTTCTGAGCGGTGTGCCCATTATTGCTTTCTGTGGTATTTTGAATAGTGCCTCCTATATTTAAATATTAGTTGTTCTTGATTTGTTATTAATATTATTAGACGGCTTACTTGAACATTATTTGTATTTAAAAACTATAGGAGTCTTCAGTAGTATTTAGGACATTTTTTATAAATCATTTGTCAGTAAAACTGAGGCTTGATTTAGTCATTGATTGAAGTCATTCAAACCGAATTACTATTTGGTTACCTTTTTCAGTGTAAATGTTCTGTTTTACCAATATCAGCAATTGATTACATAATTTAACCAAAAAGTCAATGAAATCGAATTACATAATTTTCATTTGTTTTAGATTTATCACAGTTCAAAATCAAGGTAATTTCAAGAAAAAAATCTTTTAGTGTTTTGTTTTTGCATATTTGCAAATTTTTTCGTTAACTTATTCACTTTCAAATGAAACCCTGTTTTAAGCAACTTGTAATTTTATTCGAACTGACTTCATATGTTGCCAAAAAGTTGATGTGTTTCCTGTTTAACAATATCAAAACAATTGATGTTCCAAAAAATCACGCTTTGAAAAATCTTCTGAGTCATGTGAAGTCATGATATGGTAATAAAGAAAATTAGAAATTATTTGTGTTTTTCTTGATCACTTCACATACTGAAATATTCGTTAAGAAAAGAAAGACTTCTGCTATTCAGGTATAACCCAAGTTGCCTGCTAAAGTAAAAATATGGTGATGGAAATGATACCTATATTAACTTCATAAGAGATCTTGATATACAACATATTTTTATAGCGAATCCCTGATAGCAGCAGAAAACTTTCCATCAGATGAACTATTTTGTTGGTGTTGAATTAGTCGCAATGGATATATTGTTTGGGGTAGCTTGCCTGTTTTCAAGGTCCAACACTGAAATTGGTGAAATTTCTCAGTGTTTTCTTTGTCTCCATACAACTCTATTATCATTGGAGAGTTCTTGCACCCGTCTGCCGGAGTCTTCGAGCACCTATCTCTGTACCCTTCGAAAGATATTTCAAAAATAATAATTTCGGAAAGATATTTATTCACTAATCGAAACTGTTCAGAGGCAGCCAGCAGCGATTTGTGTTCTTTATTTTCGTGGTCTTCAATAAAAATTGTGAAGTTAGAGTACCCGCACGCCCTTGTATTTTCAATAATAATAAAGTTAGCTTCCTAAAACGTTTAGACTTCGGAAAATGTCTGAATATATTTCTTATCATCGAGACGAATCCACTGATGCCAAAATTATCAAAACCGAACGGCTGGAAATAGCCATTTCATTGCAGTTTTGGACTATTCTCGATGTGGGCAATACAAATTCATCATTAGTTTATTTCTATCTCAATTTTAATAAACCGGAAGTTCTTATTTTTTATGGTTCGTAAAGATCCAAAACTTCATTATTTCATATATGGATCACCCCTCTTCATTTCCTATGCTACACGCAGCGATTCGTCTATTATTAACGAAAGTACAACTCAGTATCCCCTTCTGACATGTGACGTCATCTTTGCTTTTTCTTTGTTGATGAATTCTGCATTCCTTCTCCTTGTGATTCAATGTGCTGCACATGTCAATCTAACTATTATTACGAAGCTACAACGCCCTTCCATTTATCTTAAAAGTCGGGTGATGACAGAGAAGACTATAGATTTTCTAAATGCTCGCATGTACGATAGTCTCAGAAACGAACTCACCCATTTATACCAGAAAGAAGTCAAGGAAACTTTGAAAAATATTTATTGTGTCGTGGATAAAAGAAATCACAATCACCTAAACTTTATTCCTTGATTAAATTATACAAAGATAACTACCCGATTAAACAGGTAGTTTCTTTTGTCACAGCACCTTTAGTTGAAATATCGCAATTATTCAAAACCACACCAATTTCAAATCAAAATTTAGTTTGAAGAATTCATACCATTTGATCAATTCAATTCAAGATATTACAATATCGGATAATGCGATTACTCTTATAGAGAATCTATTGGAAAAAAGGTCTATCAATCCTGTAGTGAAACAGGAAATATTAGACTTGTTAATGGTTTGTTTGTCACAGAAGTATTTTCAATTCAATGAAATTTTTTACTCATCCTACACAGGTTTCATAATGGGAAACCCACTCAGACGACCCATTCTGGCAGAAATTTTCATGAACGACTTAGAGAGAAAAATACACTGTAACCCACTGGTAAGTAGTTTCGTATATTGGTATAAATATGTAGATGATATCTTGGTATGTTTCACAGGAACGAAAAAAAATTGACGAAGTTCTTGAATTTCATTTCATCGTAAACGAGCACAAACAGATATTATCATTCATAATTCGTTCATCCACGAGTATCAGCACAAAGTAGCAGCATTCAACAGTATGATTCACACACTGATAAATGTTTCCCTGTCAGATGAGGATTTCAATATAGAAATGAACATAAAACAAATAGAGTCGTCAACAATGATTACGATGGCAGTCTAATACATTGTCTATTATCAAAAAACTTATACAGTCAAGCTTTGAAGGAAGTTTACCCAATTCGAAGAGATGAGAATATAGAACCTCAACCTACGTAGGCCAACCCACTACAAAGATGTAAAAACTGCTTTCAAAACCAACATTGGGTGATGACTGTCACCACCCAAAGACGATTATGGATACTAACAATCGAAACGTCGTGAAGTAACTTGGCTTGTGCCATGATAGAGTAAGAGCAACTGTTTTTTTCTGTAAAATAGCCTTAATAGCCCTAAACATGTATGCAAGAGAATTCACTTTATTAATTATGATTTGTCAATGAATCTTCCAATCAATGTTTTTGTCTATAGCTATTCCAAGGAATTTCGTTGAGTCTAATTTTTTATAATCGAACTATTTATTTGAATTTTGATTTGCGAACAAGTGTTCTGTAGGGGAAGAAAACTAATTAAATTTAAACTCATTAATACAGTTTATTGTACGATTTTCGCTATAAAGGGGTTTACAAAAACCGCGACACGTGTTTCGCTATACAATAGCTTTCTTGAGCGTAAAATCATAAGTTACTTCTAAATCATAACTACTTTATACTCTAACATATTACCTACTTGTATGCCTATTTTCTAATGAATGAATCTACCTGTAAAGGGCAGGTATACATTCATTAACTATATGAATAAACTAAATTGTCGAAAGTACTGTAATCATACTTGTTTATTTACATACTTTCCAACAGGTAAAGTTTTAAACTTTTCTGCTGGAAATAGAGGGGCTTGAATTCATGGTTGAATCCATGTCCCTCTATGATTAAATGAGTGGCATTTGTGCAGTTTATTCATATTGGACACTATTTCTGTGTTCTTTTATGCGTACTTTTAACGTTCTTGTAGTTTGACCTATACAAAACATCGGACATGACCCACATGATAATTTATACACTTCCGATTTTTCTGAAACTAAACTTTTATCTTTGTTATTCTTAATGTGCGTGCCTACGTTGATGTTGGTTTTGAAAGCAATTTTTACACCTTCATTGTCTAGAAAATTTGAAATATTCGTATTGGGTTGGCCTAAGTAGGTTTATGTTCATTTCTTTATTGAAATTCTCATTTGACAAGGGAACGTTTATCAGTGTGTGGATCATATTGTTGAATGCTGCTACTTTGTGCTGATAAGGGTGGATGAACGAATTATGAATGATAATATCTGTTTGTGCTCATTTACGATAAATTTATAAATAATGTTTATTGTTAACTTCCGTTATTGTAGAGTCCAAAAAATTTATAGAGTCGTCCTTTTACATCTCCATGGTAAATGTGATAGAAGGGTGGGGAGATTTGATGAAATTCAAGAACTTAGTCAATTTTCTGTTCGTTCCTGTGAAACATACCAGGATATCATCTACATATCTATACCAATACACGAAACTACTTAACAGTAGGTTACAATGTATTTTTCTCTCCAAGTCGGTAATGAAAATTTCTGCTAGAATGGGACTAAGTGGATTTCCCATTATGAGACCTTTGTAGGATGAGTAAAAAATTTCATTGAATTGAAAGTAATTCTGTGACAAACAAACCGTGAGCAAGTCTAATATTTCCTGTTTCACTACGGGATTGATAGACCTTTTGTCCAACAGATTCTCTACAAGAGTAATCGTTTCATTCGGAGGAATACTGGGAAACAAATTTTTTACATCGAATGAAATCAATTTGGTATTATCTGGGATTGTAATATCTTGAATTTAATTGAATTGAATTTTGATTTGAAATTGACGTAGTTTTGAATAATTGCGATGAGTTTTTCGGATATTTCAACTGAAGTTGCTGTGACAAAAGAAATAACCTGTCTAATGTTATATTTGCGTAATTTAATCAACGAATGATGTTTAGGTGATTGTGGGTTCATGACTAAAGATCTGAACTTTTCTGTTTCATCCATGACACAATGGATATTTTTCAAAGTTTCCTTGACTTTTTTCTGATATAAATGGGTGAGGTCGTTTCTGAGACTATCGTACATGCCAGCATATAGAAAGTATATAGTCTTCTCTACGTATTCTTCTTTGTTTATGGCTATGACCGTTTTGCCTTTATCAGCTAGCGTGAAAACACTGTTATTTGCTGCCGATTTCTCTTTTATGGAATTAACTGGTTTCAATTCCAGATCAAACCTACCTTTATGCATTTTTTCAGATTTTAAAATTTCAGCAGCAATATGTTTATTGGCGTAACATGTCCCCATCAATACAATATCTGTATCAATTCCCAAAACTTCGAATTTATGTTGGGGTTTAATATTGCAATTGGGAACATATTCCAGTAGACGAGTTTCATGTTCTGTGAAACTGGTGTTCATAAGATTGACAAATTTGTCAAAGAACTTATGTT